ATGTCTTCCATTCACACAATTTTCTTTTGAAAACTTACGTACTTAGTTTTAGGAAGAGTATAGAAATGAGGCGTATATCTTCCAAGTATGTCCATGTTGGATCTGTTTTATGTGCCAGGTAGCATACATGAAACCGGGAATAGGCTACACTGGGATCTTAAAGTCTGCCCTCATCTGGCTGTTGACACTAACACTGATTATAGAAGCTGGAGATACAGAAACAAACCCTGGACCAAAGCAACCGAATACTCGAAAAGGATGGAAACCCTGTTATCAAAATTACTTGTGACTTAGTATGTGAAACACCCGAAGAGCAAGTAACATTAGCTGACCTCGCTAAAACGCTCAGTGGTATCAATGACCAGACAGTCGAGTTGATAACATCTAGCTTCAATGATAAACCTTCGCAACTTACCGACGAGAACTTGAGTCTGAAATCTAAACTCCATCACCATGTGAAGATGGACAACATCGAATAACAATCTAAATGTATGTGGAATTCATGACGGGAGTGGTGAATCATGAAACTGTGGAGGACCCCATACAGTTCACAAAAGGAGCACTGAAACTTGATTCATCTAAAAATATTTAAATGTAGAGGGCACACAGATTCTCGCCCACATCTGACCACTGTCTTGCTGTTGTGACATTTTCTCCATTTAAAGACAACCATTCTGTATTGCATGCAGCGAACCAAGTATTAAGAAGAATGTTGAATGCTGATACTGCTGTTTACACGAAGAAGGCAAGAGAAGAAGGCAGGGTTGCACTTTTGAAATATGATAATATTATTGATGGGTCGATCTTCGCCTATGAAGAAGACGAGGATGACAATGTGAAAATCGGACAGAGAATGGAAAAGCTGGTTCTGGATAAGAAAGTTATCATGGTTCCAATTTACTTGGACACATCTCAAGTAGCTATAGACTCTACACAAAGTTCGGATCAACATTATGCAATGACTAGCATATGTACAGTACATGGAATGTAAACTGACTACCACCATCATGTGTTGCCTATGCTACTTTCTGTTTACAATTTAGTATGTTTTGTTTGACCAAAACCTGGTGTCTTAACAATTATATTATTAATACAATACAATACATATGAGTGCGATGTGTGTGTGACCCAAAGAGTCTGGAAAGTTGTCAGGGGGTAACGAAAGAGAGCATTTAACTTTTATAGGGTTTGTCTCCATACATCCAGAAAGATCCCCAATATATACCAGCTCAGATGAAAATGGTATAAATATGCTTGAGCAGAAGCAATTATATTTTACCATGACTTTGGTAATTGGTACAAATATATTTTGAGTGGAGACTTCAATGCTCGTATCAGAACTTTAGATGACTTCATTCTAGATGATAGTTCCAATTATCTCCCTTTACCTGAACAACATACGCCTGATTTGTTTTATCTTGATCGATCTACATGTGATAATAATTACGAACTGTTATGGATACTCACTGATTGAGCTATGCAAAATGTTAAACATGCATACAATAAATGGAAGAAACATATCTGGTATTCCAAGTAATTACACCTTCTTGGCACACTCGGGTACACGTTTGGTGGACTGGTTTCTAGTGTCAAGTGAAATGTTCCCAACATCGTCTACTTTAAAGTATAGTCTCGTACAGCATCGGACCACGTGCAAATGCCTATTGTGTGTAGTTCGAAACATCAACAAGGAGTATAATAAGATTGAGCAGGCTTAAAGGCTAGCTTGTGCGCCAAGGAACAAATATTGAGATGCTGATATTACAAATTATCTTAAATAGCTACAGGCGATGGAAAAATTCATAGATTCCTTATAGTATCAAAGAGGATGACATTGTCAATTTGGCAATTAATGATATGGAATACATCCTGAATTGTGTAACTTCAGTCTTTTGATATCCTATATAAAACCACTTTCCAATACGATTGAGGACACCGCTCTATGTGAACAAGGGAGATATTTTTATGGATATGCAGCTATTAAGTTTCGTTTCGTTTCTGTGTATATATTAACACCGTTATCAAGCAAGTGATGTACAAAAAAGTGAAGTAGGCAGGTTTCATATATGTGGATAATTAATGTTAATACAAGGTTGAATGACGATATTGACGTCTAAAACCTTCCCACGTCACATTTCTGTACATCTCTTGCTATCATATCTATGTTTTGGTTAGTCAAGAGCCTCATCTTCTAGATGGCATTTCTATTTCTCTTATATTTCATACTGGACGCGAGTGACACTATGTTGTCAGACATACGTGTTAGAAAAAACGTCTTAATTAATTAATGTCCTGGCTGTCGTTGTTCAAAACAACCTCAGCGCTACGACTGTCGTGAGTCTATATTAAGGTATGGGAGTTGCGATCACCTTAGCACTTAGATCGCTTTGTAACAACGGCATCCAGGTGTATACGAGGGACGAGTGTAGATGTTAGGAGTTCTGTAATACTTTGAATTCTCACATGATATGTGCTGTTTGATACTTTTGCAGAAGTATGGCCAATCTTTGTTACAAGCTGCCTCTATATTGAAGTGGAGTGCTACGTCTTCTTAGAGATGTTTAACGGGAAAATCGTATAATATAGAACAACATAATAGTAAACAGCAGGCCCAGTGAGCACTATAAAGGTACAGAATGTGTAAAGTTCTTTAATCATTTTCGCAATCGATATACAATCCTTAGATATGCGTGTACTTCATTGAAGAAAAAGCCGCTACATAACTTTGAGAGATCACTTGATAACAGTCAATTATTTTGGAAGCAAGTTAAATTCATACACATGTGTTGTACATATTAGCCCAAACATTTGATATGTATATCTTCAAAATTTGTTTGAATGAAGTTGATGATGCTATGGGTAAAGCTGCACCACATAATGAACTGACCCGTGCAGATTCCGGGGTAGAATAGGTCTTCAGCAACCCATACTTGCCGTAAAAGGCGACTACCGCGATCGGGTGGTCAGGCCCGCTGACTTGGTTGATACATGTCATCGATCCGAATTGTGTGGATCGATGCTCATGATATCAATCACTGGATTGTCTGGTCCAGAGTCGAATATTTACAGACCGATGTCATATAGCTGGAATATTGCTGAGTGCGGCGTTAAACAACAAACAAACAAACAAACAAACAAAATAAATCATAATGAACTGGAGTCTGCAAATACAGAACAAGATATACTAAATGGTTTATTATCAACACAGAAGGGTACATCATCAGGTTTAAATACTGGAAGTGTTCACATCAACATGTCAAATAAGTACTTCATTCGATAGGACTTGTTCAACAGGCCAGTTTATGAATGGCAAAAGATATTATCGTGATAACTACAGGGACACAAGATTAATTAGTGTTTTCGGACAGAATCTGTCAACAGTAGCTAACTGTAGATTAAAATCTTCGTCCAAAAATAATAACAAAATATGTAACAGACAAGCAGGTTTGTTACGCCCGGACATACATCAATTGATAACTTGTTCACGCTGACTGCTGGTATACAAGAATATGTTAAGTAAACTTAACGTTCCCTACGTCTTTTTTCAAAAATGCATTTGATTTTGTAGACTTACGCATGTTCTCGAAAAATATGGTCCACCTATTAATTTGATTATGATTCAGTCTATGCATTACGATATAACGGTGATAACAGTAGTTTTAATGGGTGGTTTAATTGGCTTGCTTCCTGGACTGAAGCAGGGTGTATTAAGCCAAATTTAGTGTTACTTTTTATTAATGAGTTGGCTGCTGAAAGTCTTGATACATGTCGAAGAGAAGATTAATTTTTGAAAGATTTACAACAAATGTTTCTATTAAGGTTTGCTGATGATGATATTTTTATTTCTGATAGAGTAGATTAGCTACAAGAGCAACGGAATATTTTCGATGATGATTGTTTAGCATGGAAACTAAATGTCTGCCTGTCAAAAGACTAAAATATAAGTGAGATTGTTAAACAGTTTTGAGTGGTATCTTCATTATGTTGTTGTAGAAGAACAAAAGTACATTGGACTATTGATCATGACCCCCATCTTTAAATTTAACAAGAGCTGTGTCAATTTTGGCGTCAAATGGATACGGTCACCTTTAAATGTTCTTAATGTGGCCTGGACATGAGGAAAATTCCTCTGATAACATACTTCCAAATAAACCTATCATTCTGTGTCAATGCGAAAAAAGTGTACGTGTACGTGTACAGGTACAAATACTTGCGCTGTTTCGAACCTGTGACTCGGTCCCTTTGACTTTAGATTTTTATCTCGATGTTGGCATTTGTCACATCAACAGCTTCGAGAAACGCAAATAAGCAATACACATAGCTGTTGTAAATTCTGCCATATGCAGGCTGTGGAATCCTGAATAAAGTAAAAAACAGAGATCTATTGTCTAACTTGGTTTCGTCCACGGAAGTCATGGGCATTAAGTGCAAACAAACATCTGTCCCTGGCATTTTATTGTTTTTTTCAAACCAACACCCCATGCAACTCATTCAGCTGTAGTCGTTCCTACACGTAATACATGTACACATGGACTTTTGCCACAATTTGTATTGGTCATTTCCTGCGTAATTACTTCAATTCGTCATTGCAGGCACGTCATGTGTTCTTGATTAATGATGTATGCAGTCGTATTGCCATGGATCTATAATACTGAGTCTGTTACTTGATCTGGCTTTCTGGCTGACTGTCCATTCCTTGCTGTCTCGAAAGTCCGGATCCATCCTTAAAAAGCCCCCGAAAGCAATACATACCAAATAAATATTAATACGATAATCAGTCCAACGATTAATTCACCCTATGCCAACCACAAATTATCAAGAATTAAAATCTGTTGGGCATCTTCTATTGAGCAGAACATTAACATGCTTAAGAAGAATCGTGAACATATCATACCTAATAATAAGCACTTCGTTATGTCGGTCAATGGCCTTTTATACAATAAACATTTGAAATTGAATTTGAATATTCACCTGATCTGAGTTTGTTGTACATAATACAGGTACCAGCTGCCCAGGAGGAATGTTCGGAGACACCTGTATCTACTCATGCCACTGCACTCCGCCCTGTAACCAGACAACTGGAGTCTGTAACGGTGCATGTGATCGAGGTTGGTTTGGTGGGAATGGGCAAACTTGTCAGAGAGGTGAGTTTTCTTGCCACAAGAGGGAGAGAGAGAGAGAGAGAGAGAGAGAGAGATAGAGAGAGAGAGAGAGAGAGAGAGAGAGAGAGAGAGAGAGAGAGAGAGAGAGAGGCCTTCTACGATCTGACTTGTGTCTTATGTATATAAGGTTCTAGCGTCGACGGGATACCTATCTGAAAACACTGACGACAGCTCTCAATACAGCCGCAGCTCTCAATACAATTTTCCATCTATTTTCACATTCAAGATATTCGACAGTGACTTTATGCAAGATATTCATAGGTGCACTGACTTATTATAGATCCTGTTATTCATTGCTGCTGCCAGTTATTTGACCTATTGTGTTGCCTCTTGTGGATGTGAGCTTAATCCTGTGTGTTTCAATATAATATGTGAACTATTCAATGACCTTGTGTGGTTAATTACTGATTTCGCAATTTAGGACCGATTTGTGGGTTAACTTTTATGTTTTAACATAGGGAATCACCTCGCAGCAACATGCTGTAACTAATCGAAAATGTTTCAAAGCCTTGCATCCCATTTTTTCATTCAAACAGATGACACCACACTCACCCCATCTGTATTTTGTATGTTAAACCTTTCATACTCTACCACTAGTTATATCTATTTTAAAGCTACGCGGATGCTGTCACCATAACGCGACTGATCACATGATGTTTGAAATGGTTTGAAATTAGATCTTTGATATTTTAACAGAAGTGTGTCCTTTGGGAAATATCCTTCAAACATTCACAATTAGCACATGTCTGTAACAGTAATCCCTAATTAATTGTGCACATATCACTTATCTGTTGGATATACCAAGATCAATTTCCTAGGATTTAAATAGAAACGTTTTCTAATACAAATTGCAATGTTAAAGTTAATTTATCTTCGTACTTGTTGGTACAAGAGAACGTTGCCTTCAACAAGACAGCATCTTCGCCCCCGACTGACCATGGACATAAAGGCTGGACCGCAGACAAAGCCGTAGATGGGAACCGGGACCAGGATGTGCTTCACGGCTCCTGTTATCACTCTAATTCTAAGGCACCTAATGATACGTGGACAGTGGACCTGGCACAGCCGTACAGGATACACGACGTCAGGATATACAACAGGGCAGGATGTATGTATCAGTTCAGGCAGCGTTGATTTTGCAGGATATTACAAAACATTTTAGTACACGCCGATCATGAACAACGTGTTTCTGGCACATTTCAACTGAATGTGGTCACATGGGCTTATTTGACGTTCACACGTTCCAGCAACAAGATGATAGGTGAACTGAATCATATCAAGTGTCATGTGATTAGCTATTTGTTATTGTTCAAAAGTACATAGTCACCCTGCGTCAGTAAATAATTTCTTTCATTGCATGATTTAGATCCTCATTTGATCAGGACTGCTGTCCTCACACTGAGTAACTCCAGCAGCTTCACACACGGCGTCACCTGCTTCATATTCCCCAATGACACAGCTAAAACAATCAACAGCGTGTACGACGTGACGTGTGACGGCACAGGGAGATACTTCACTATCACACACAGCACAGGACTAATCCTGTGTGAGGTGGAGATTTATGGTATGGATAATTGCTGATAGAAGATAACTGTGCCTGTGTTTTACCTTTAAACTGAAGCCATATAGTCAATGACGTAAATCATGTGTGTCTAAATATACATTCTTCTGTATTATTACCAAATTTGAAATATGTTTTCAGGACATTTTAGATGACAATTTTTTTCTAAATCAATAGCTGTGTGGGATCATTTTTGGTACACATGAACAAAATATAGTAGAATGTAATGTCGTAGGCCATAGCAATTGTTCGCCACGGACATGACGGATAAGGAGTTACAGTGGCTCACAGTTAATCTTAGCGGAGTCAAGTCGTTTTCCTTTATGTATTGAATACATATGTATTGAATGTGTGCGCCATTATGTTTTTACATATGTATTGAATGTGTATGCCATTATGTTTTTCTGACAAAAGTCAGTATTTTGTTCGCTTAAAGCCATCAAATCAAACAGTTCGTCCCACTGTACTTTATCTATGTACGATAAAAAGTCGCCACATTTTAGAATTCTTATCATAAGAAAAACAAAGACATGGACAACGTTTTTCGCTTTTCAAAGCATGCTTTCATTGTTTACCACGGGTTAGTAGATTCAATAACATACAACTCAATATTAAAATCGCACAGCAACCAGGATTCCGGTAGTGGATCACAAGCTTTTGGTCAGAGATCTCGCGAGATCAGTGATGGATGCAACTCGATGCTGTGGGTATTCAGTTCGCACAACTACTTGCGTACAACAAATTGTATACAACTGTGTGAATGCACCTTAAGTTAACAATGTTTGTTTATATTGTTATGTATATGAGAAATTCAGAAATATAGATACGCTGCATATTATGTTGCTTATCAAAACACTACTTAGTTAACATGGGCAGATTGCCTACATTCTTTATGTATGTAGAAAGTTAATGTAAAATGTACAGCAACAGCCTTGAACATACCCTGCTACATTTAAAGGAAGTAAACTGTAAAATAAAATAGTAAAGACCCCACAATATCTTTAAATATCTTTTTGTTGATATATTTCTTATTTAAGGTAATAATACATATGAGGTACTGTTAAACTAATCGATACAATTGTTAATACTGATAAGGAAAACGTTACGTGTGTTCTTACATTCAAATACCAGAGAACATGACGTGACACTGATAGCAACAATACAGGTTGGGATGCTATTAAAATGTTCATATCTGGGACACACTTGCACTTGAAAGCCTTGGGGAACAAGGATGTAAAGTATCATCCTATTTCAAGTTTGCAGCCCAGGAGTCTTTGGTGATAGCTGCAATCAGTTCTGCCACTGCTTCCAAGCAACATGTGACCCAGTTAGTGGTGTGTGTCCTGGAGACTGTAGACCAGGATGGCAGGGAGGCAGGTGTGATACAGGTGAGGAGATTCAGTCAGAGGTGTGTGTCCTGGAGACTGTAGACCAGAGTGGCAGGGAGTACAGGTGTGATGCAGGTGAGGAGATTCAGTCAGTGGTGTGTGTCCTGGAGACTGTAGACCAGGGTGGCAGGGAAACAGATGTGATACAGGTGAGGAGATTCAGTCAGAGGTGTGTGTCCTGGAGACTGTAGACCAGAGTGGCAGGGAGTACAGGTGTGATGCAGGTGAGGAGATTCAGTCAGTGGTGTGTGTCCTGGAGACTGTAGACCAGGGTGGCAGGGATAAAGGTGTGATACAGGTGTGATACAGGTGAGAGATTCAGTCAGCGGTGTCTGTCCTGGAGAATAGACCAGTGTGGCCGGGAGACATGTGTGATACAGGTAAAGAGATTCAGTCAGTGGTGTGTTGTAGAGACTGTAGACCAGGGTGGCCGTGAGACAGGTGTGATAAAGGTGAGGAGATTCAGTCAGTGGTGTGTGTCCTGGAAGCTGGAGACCAGGGGAGGAAGAAGAATGGTGTAATACAGGCTAGACTGGAGCGTAGAGGTGAAGTTGTTCCGACAGACTGTATCCTATGCATCACTGTATCCTGTAACCAATTTACATGGGCATATATTTTTGGATATGTAATGTAGGTAATTCTGTATACTACGTTGTACTCTAAGTGTGACCTGCAAACGTATACCTGTCTAGTATACCCTTGCGGTTTTATTTATCTTTCTACCGGCTTGGTACTTTCAACGAATACAAGTAGAAATATTGCTATGTAGATCATGTCTGAATCAAGTTTAGATGGACACCCCATCTGTTTACCTATTATTATCAGCAGTGTATTTTCCAACGTGCTCTGCTGTGACGTGATACAACTCGAAATGATACTTTTTTGTGGCAGACAAAGTTGGACACTGTGCACAAGAGCAGTTCTTCCTTGCCCAGAACATTGGTTCCTTGATCCCTTGGGATTATCAGTCCTGGGCTATTGTCACATCATTACTCAATTACTAACATCAACAAAATGTGATTGAAGGTTTGTTATATTAGTCAGCAACATTACAGCTAAGTAATGGCAACATGACAATGAATCATTTCGAATTGGAGTAACCTTGGGTCCCAAACAGCAAATGGTTAAATCTCTCTCCGTTATGCGGTAATGTTCCTTTGGATATTTGCATTTTATTCTCTTTTAAGATATTTGTGTCTAAAATGTACATGATCTCTCATTATTTGTCCACAGTGTGTTCAAATGGCAGCTACGGGCAGAACTGCAACAACTCTTGCATGGAAAGAAGATGTGCAGGTGACTCGCCATGTGATCACATAGGAGGGACGTGTATTCCCAGGTGTGAGATAGGGTGGATGGGTGACGATTGTAGACAAGGTAAGCATCGGAATTAATATTTTCTTTTTTTACAGGCAAACACCCAACAGGGTATATATATTAATCTTAAAAGCATGTGATCATACAAGTGTGACTCATGTTGGAACCAGGTTGGAACTATTAAAAGCACATCAACTACATTTATTGTACTTATCAGTATAAATTGAATATTATAACCTTTTCCAGACCCTGATAATATCGGGTCGAATAGATGTGACACAGAACGTCATATGGAACTTTTTCATACTGCAACCAATTTTGATCTTGGACATGTTTAGTGACACACATAACGATATTCTACCTGTAAATAATCGAGTCGTCTTAATAAGACAAACCAGTGATGTATTATGCGCAACATACCACGCAGTCTGGATAATTTTAGACATATAAAAAATTGTTTTGTTTAAAAAATGTAGTCTCCAAAACAACGCCCCTCCCCCCACCCGCTTCCCCGCCTCAAAGATTTCAAATATAAGGTAGGCCCCGAACTGTGAATAGGTTATCACGCAAGTGTGTTTAGGGATGGTAAATATCTGTAAACACTGTATTTAGCGAGCCTTGGCTTGTTAAATACATAGTATTTGTTCCTAATACAGGATATTTACAATGCCCAAACACACAAGCGTGATAACCTCTTTATCATATAATGTCATTCTTCAATTCTGTCCTCGAAAACCTCTTTCCATCTCTCACAAACACAACCTCAACATTGCATTTTTTTCTGGAATGTGCGCATTGATATATATCACGTCACGGGGTAAGTGATATGTCAGATGAACAGTGATAGTAGCTAATATAGTTCCAACAGAAACCTGTTTCTTATACAGTGGCGTAACTACATACATGCAAAACAACATTCGCCTACACAAATTGTTTTTTCTTGCCTTTCACGGCAATCCATCGGTATGTCTGATAGAGTAACTGTCCTTTATCAAAGGGAAGCTACTCTAAACCTAGTCTATGACTTGTCATTACGTTATGAAATGCAGTCAGATGCACACACAGCAAAAAAACGAAACAAGGTAACAATTCGAACATATTTCGGCCAAATTCAACTGTTTTAATTTGTGGAAAAGGTTCCAAGCCACAGAAGTCCACAAGTACAGATATGGAACGTGATCCCACTTGGCTAGTGCCCTCGCTTGTTTGTTTCACAATTTCTATCTCCAAAGTTGCCAAAACTTGTAAAATGCTTTAGCTACATCACAGTTAGACACTGATTTTCAGTATATTAGACTATTCTTTTCATAACAATAGCAATTATCCCAGTAATTTCTCCAGATTCTGACTCCATCGGCGAATAACAAGAGCGACGCCATGTTTGTTTATAAACAGTGAAAGTAGTCCCTACTTGACCTTTGATATTTGCATCCATGTCCGCATATGACCCCAACGGATATCGTTTTTATCCGTTGGCTTTATCCTGCCGAGAAACCTACCCATTATATGATAAACGGCTTTATCTGGAGCACTTTCATCGCGAAGCTGGGCCTGTATATGTAATTCCATCCAAATGTTTAGCATACACTTGTTCCGCTTCGGACCATACATTACCTCGAGCACGTTCAGCTTTCGACAGCATTTTTCAATTTAGCAGGATATTGTTGTTGGTTTTGACTTCTAAAACACCTACACAATCATAACCTGATGTGACCAGAGTTTATGAAGAAGATCTTTAAAGAACAAAGGTAGTTGAAACGGTTAAAAAATCACATAACCAAATGCATTCGTTTTGTCAAACTTAATGAAGGTCTCAATGCACATTAAATTTACAAAATTTCCTCTTGTCAAAATCAGAAACGGAGTGATTTTGACCCAAACTCCAATAAAGGAATATTGACCATTCATACTTAGGAGAAGAGCGCTAGCACTGGAGTTTGTACAGTTGAACACTTGCTCATAATATAGTTGGAATCGTACAATTGACTCCACCACTGACTCTATCCTGTTTTATTTAGTCCTTGGCGACGGCACAAACAACATTTATGTTTATACCAGAGTTAAATAACATTTAAGTGGTGTTTATAATTAAGACTAGTTATAATCATAACATTAATAAGCAATAGACGTTTTGTAATATTCTTATGACATTATGATTTCACAGCATGCTCAAGTGGAAGTTATGGACAGAACTGCAGAAACTATTGCACAGACAGGAAGTGTGCAGGAGACTCACCATGTGATCACGTACGAGGGACATGTGTTTCCGGTTGTGAGCCAGGGTGGATGGGTAAAGACTGCAGAGAAGGTGATAACCGAAGTTTACATTATAAATTGAACGCAGCAAAACATTGAATCATTTTATGTATCGAAATACAGGTACGTTTACTGCATACGGTAGTGTAAAGCTAATACGATAATGTTCCAGCCTGTGACATTTTGGCTTTGATAGGCCAGTTCCCACGTCGACTGCAAAGGCAGTAAACTGAGATTTTTCACATATTGTTCTGGCACTTCTTTTGCTTTCCAGTTAGATATGAATATAAACCAAGACGTTACCAAAACATGTGACCTTTGACATTTGCACAGTTATTGACGGTTGAGTCGCAATTTGTTGTTATGTTATATCATATTGAACATTCCCTGAAACCTTTGAATCTGTATTTGAAAATCTACATACATGACAAACATTTGGACACAATCAGAGTTCCGGCTCTTGAGTTAAGTTTGGTCGGTAAAAGGCAAATATAACCCCGAGAACCTGTTTTTAACATAAAAGGTATCGCAATAAAATAATATCGAGGTTACGAAACATTTGGTCAAAGAACAAAAAAATGTAAAACATCTAAGATACATTCTGAATGATACATTCTGGCTTTGAGACTGACTTATAATCAGAGCAAATTCAATAGGGATTCATCCGTTTTGCTTCCAAAACGGAACTTATTGATATACCTTATCAATTTGTATTATGTTCATGACAACTATGTTCAAACACTATTATAAATTATTTAACCAGAGTAAGATGTGATGTTGCCTACTTTGGTTTCGTTTGAGAGCAATGGGAAACGGCTTGATCATACATTGAAACCATTTAGAAAACATTACCACTGATGCTATCCTATTTTATCTGGCACATGGTAAAAACTACATTTATGTTTATACCAGAGTTAAATAACATTTAAGTGGTTTTTTTATAATCAAGGCTAGTTATAATCATAACACTAATTAGCAATAGACGTTTTGTAATACTCTTATGGCATTATGATTTCACAGCATGCTCAAGTGGAATTTATGGACAGAACTGCGGAAACTATTGCACAGACAGGAAGTGTGCAGGAGACTCACCATGTGATCACGTACGGGGGAAATGTGTTTCTGGGTGTGAGCCAGGGTGGATGAGTGAAGACTGCAGAGAAGGTGATAACCGTAGGTTACATTATAAATTGAACGCAGCAAAATATTGAAATATGTATCGAAATTGTACCCAATTGCTGAACGTAGTGACTCTCCTTGAGTGTTATTATTTAGTGATAGTATTCCAGACTTTAAAGACCAGATTGGGGAGAATAGTAAAGAAATAACATCTGCACTGTTTTTCAGCTACTGACTATTGAGGTGCAATATGGTGTTATGTCACATTAAATCAATTATTTCCTAAGACTTTTGAACATGTAATTTAAAGTCTACATACCTGAAAAACATTTGGACAAAATCGGAAGTCTTGCGTTTGAGTTACGTTTGGTCGGTAAGAGACACATTTAGCACGAGAACCTGTTTTTTGACATAAAACGGATCGCAAATACAGAACATAGAGGTGAAGGGGTAAAGGTTTTTAATAGTTTTCAGAACAAAGGGTTGACAGTATTTGCTCTGTCCTTAAATCAACAGTATAAATTACTGCTGTGTTGGCATAACTCGTTCCTCTGGAATCAAAATGCATATGTCAATGTATGTAATATTTGACTGCCAAACATTTGTTAAAAAAATGTAGAAAATCTGAGATCCATTCTGAATGATACATTGTGGCTTGGAGACCGATTTGTGATCAGAGTACGCACAACAGGAATCCATCCTGTTTTCTTGAAACAATAAACATATATATAGATCTTTTGTAATGTGTTAATGTGTTCATGGCAACTATGATTAAACACTGTGTTATATAGTATTCAACAATTGTATGATATTCTGTTATCTGCTTATGGTTTTCGTGTATTCGTTTGAGAGCAAAGGGAGACGTCTTGTTCAAACATTTAAACAATAATTGTTTAGAACACAATACCGCTGATGCTATCCTGTTTTACCTGATACCTGGCGATGGCACAAACAACATTTATGTTTATACCAGAGATAAATAACATTTAAGATTTTCTAATAAAGACTAGTAATAAACATAACACTTCGCAGTAATAGATGCTTTGTAATATACTCATGAACATTTTGATTTCTCAACAGCATGCCCAAGTGGAAGTTATGGACAGAACTGCAGCAAATATTGTTCTGATAGAAAGTGTGCTGGAGACTTGCCATGTGATCACGTACAAGGGACATGTGTTTCTGGGTGTGAGCCAAGGTGGATGGGTGAAGACTGCAGAGAGGGTGATAACCGTAGTTTACATTAAACATTGAAATGAGTATAAAACTGTACCCAATTGCTGAAAGTGATTCTCCTTTATGATATGATACTATTTAACCATAGAATTCCAGACATAAAATACCAAATTGGGGAGAGTTCTTTTTGGACATGTCAAAAACTGGCTAAGATCAGAGTTTGGGTATAAAGATAAATATTGACATAAATCCAGTCGTGTTTCCTATGTTGGTTCACGGGATACCACAGTATAAAGCTTATTCGATAATTTTCCAGCCTGTGATATTAATCATTATGGAGTTAACTGTGGCAAGATCTGTGCATCCAGACACTGTGTGGGGAACTCTTCCTGTGGCTCAACAGGGGACTGTGACAGGGGATGTGAAACAGGGTGGACACAAGCGGACTGTACAGGTAACCATGTTATGTCAACAGGTAGGCAGTGCGAAGTCAGTTGGCAGTGGCTGGACGGTAATATAGCAAGGTATGATGTGTTAAAACGGTACTGAATATCTGTACAATAAAGATGTGCAACATCAAGCGTTGGAAGTGAAGTGTGAAGAGCAGTGGGAATTGAAATCTAATGTAATTGATGCGATACACGATTTCAATCAATAGAAAATGTGTCTGTTCCTGTTTTTGATCGATCCCCATGTCTCCGCCAAAGCAGCACTTTAAAACCAGAAATTGTTTGGACTGGCTTCGTTTAATCATTCATAGAATATGATAGGAAATTTAACGTCTCAACTGTTTGCTGACATAAGTTTGTTCATGTCCAAAGAAGATAATAAAATCATATTTGATTTTTGAACGAAGTTAGATGTGGTGGTACTGATCAACACAATGGCTGTATCTTGAACAAAATACGAACAGTCATGTCTACTGAATTATAGCGATTGGTTCATATCCATTACTTACACATTAATCTATTTTATAAATCGATGCAAGCGAGCTGTTCATAAAAACAAAATAATCTGAAATGCCGCGAATCACATGCAGGTCTATTTTAGACACAGGACCAAGTTGTACTTGATGACAATGCTTATACTCCATGTTTTGCTTAATATTCATTTTAAATAAAATCAAACATATTTACCTTTTCTCATTGATTGATCTTGTCTTTTATGTATTCAGAAGACGCGAGAAGTGTACAACCAGCCGGATGTAACGCTAGCCAGTTGGCAGTTGCCGTAGCAGTTGCCGTAGCAGTGGCATTCGTGGCTGGTGCTGTATTAGGTGGCATCGTCACTGTTGTTGTCTGGAGGAGAAGGAATAGGTAAATGGTCACTCTGATCAAAATATATATTTCAAAAATAAATATTTTAAAAACTCAAAACGTAATTCGTCCGAAGATAGGATTATACCTGACATGAACATGACGTCATATTGGATAATGCTTCCATGTCTTTCATGTACTTGTTTACACCAAGTTTTGAATGCCCTCACATTCCAGACGCTTAGACAAGACATCGCACCCAACCATTGTATCAAACGCTCAAACTGAACGATCGCAGGCCAGTGATGACGTTGGCCCAGGTACTAGGACATACGACAGTCTCAATGCCGTCTCATATGACGCCAAGATGGAAGGAGATACCTATTGCACCATTAAATCTGGAAAAACAGATTTAGGAACTGGTACCACTGCTCTGACGCCATGTGACGTGTCCGACTCTAATGGAGCGCGGACGTACGAGACTCTTGACAACACGTCACGAGGAACGGATGGTGAATACAGTGAGATCGGGGAACTCAAGTGACTTTGTAGTGACAAATTTACGGTTTGATAGAATTATTTATTGGTACTTGTACCTGTAGTCCCGAAAGGTGACACATATATTTCTATTTTTGTGGGTTTAAAATTGTAATAAATAAATTCTTAATTTACGTATTTCTGTAGCGTCAGGTCTCTATTGATCCTCCCACCGACCTCACACACTCAGTCACTATATGGCACAGTTACAATGTGAATTATGTAAGTTCATTTGGAGTAAGGTTTTGTTCAACTTCAACGATGTACGCATTTGTATTAATTGTTTCATTTCAACACTGAATTGTAACAGGATACTTGATTAAACAACGTATGTTCATACGTGCATGGTTTTGTTTCAAACAGATCACATGATTCAACATTGTCGGTCAGTCAGAACTAAACACTATGCTGTAATCCAATGTCCCCTTGCTGTGAACTGTAAATAGTTTTACAATTATACTCATACAAAATAAACGTAAATGTATTGATATGTTTCTATATTTAAGCTATAGCTGGTGTTTACCTTATAATTATAGTATTGTCTGTGTATGCATGTGTAATAATGGTGTCATCAACTTTGTATGTGGTCGGTTAACTGAAATACATGGAGATGACAAATTTACTCCCTCTGTACACTTGTTTATATATATATATATATATATATATATATATATATATATATATATATATATATTGTATATATGGATTGCGATTATATATATGTATATATATCGTAGAAACCCTTGTTGCTGCATGTCACACTATCAATGTGTATGTTTTGTGTTAGTGAACTGACGAAAGCAATCGGCGACGGTCTATCCATTTAAAAATATCTGTAATAGACGAATCACTTGATAGATTGTGATTATGTATTATTATAATGATGTTATGTAAACAAATGCTATAAACAAAACAAAATGGTACATTTTTTAATCAGGCATGTCAATTTTCACACGCTTTGCTGAAAGGAAAATAGTCTTCGTCGTAATTACACAATTCGTATTTTATCAATTACCTCCATTTGTAACAAGGCAAGCTATGTTGATAAGTTCAACATTGAATCATCGCCCTTTGTTACTAGGGGCGCTTTAAAATTGTCTATTATTATCTCCCTCTGGCGCTACAGCTCTACGAACATGTTTGTGTATTCGTTTTGTTTATTTGTGTTTGGGTTGTTGTATTTTATTGTCAAGTTATATTGTATATGATAACACACCAAGTAAGTTAATATGCTATGTTGTGAAAGCCACGCAAACCACCTTTCACATTTTGTAAACCTAGGTAAACCCAGAGTAGTAGTATGTGTATGGGCCATTGTATCCGTAGCCTCCAACCCTGCTTGTAATCTCTATGCTCAAGGAGACTTTAGTGTCATTAACATTTTATGACTATGACAGTCACATGTTTGTTATTGTTTTAATGTCTCACTACGTTTTCTGTATATGAGGTATGTGCAAAAACTATGTTAGTAAGAAAAAATGTGATGACAGTAGTAAGTCTGGAATTATTTACTCAAATTCTAAAATATATCACTCATATGTTGTATTGCTTGACACAGATTACTTTGACAATTACTTGATTTATTGCTTTTCGTACAGTATAACATCTTTGCAATTATATTGTAATTATATACGATCACTTGCGCTCCCTCAATAAACAGCATCAAAACTCCGTGGTCACGGTTTCCTTCTCTTTTCAATGTTCCCCACGTAAACAATTCCCACAACCAAGTGAGGTCTCTACTGACCATTATAGGAACCTATATAACTTTTATGATTGTATGAGTAGGCGCCTCTACTAAAGTCCATAACAAACGTGGTTGTCAGGAGTCCAGTGGTGAGATCATGCCTTAATGAGCGAGTCTGCAAATCACAATGGGCAGGTTAACATGGAGTTTGGATTTAGTCCAGCTACTTTCTGTTACTGAATAACATTATCTGGTCTGAATAGAAACGAACAGATGACACACTTTATATAGGCTTTATTGTCTTCAGAAAATGGAGTAAGTGCCGTTTGATAGATATACCTGTAATTTCGATGTCATTCAAAACGCATTTTATTACGCATGTACACATA